ACTTGTTCATGAGGGCCATTTAGGCATCGAAAAAAACAAAAAAACCGTGCCCGGAAAATTTTTTATTGGCCAGGACAGGCCTCAGATATTGAGTCCTTTATAAAGGCATGTAAAGTTTGCGAAAAGTTTGCTAAAAAGAATTCAAAAGAAACACTTGTGCATTATCCGCTTCCTACTAGATGTTGGGAACGCGTTGGAACTGACATCTTTACTTATGGCAATCAAAGTTATGTAGTGTTGTTTGATGTTTTTTCCAACTGGTTAGAGCTATTACCGATTGGTGATAAGAGTGCTGATAGTGTTATAAAGCAACTAAAACATGTTTTTGCCCGATTTGGTCCACCAGACTTGTTGGTATGTGACAACGTACCATTTAATGGTTTTAGATTTAAAAAATTCTCTCAAGACTGGAATTTTGAAGTGTCTTACAGAAGTCCTAATTACCCAAGGTCGAACGGGTTAGCTGAAAAGGCTGTTGATATTTCAAAAAAATTGTTAAAAAAATCGTTGGAGAGAGGAGAAGATCTTGAATTAGCTTTGTTAAGTTACAGGAATGCGCCTCTTAAAAATATGGGATATTCTCCATCTCAACTTTTAAACAGTAGAATGGCAAAAACAAAAATTCCAGTCTCAGATGAATTGTTACAACCTAAACTTTGTGCAAATGTTATCCCTAAGATACAAGCTAAGCGTAATGCTTATGAGTCTTATTATAATAAGACGGCACAGGATTTAAGTGTTATTGATAAAAACTCTGATGTAACAGTGTATAATCATATAAAAAAGTATTGGGAACCTGGTAAGGTTTTAAAACAGCATGACACTCCAAGATCCTATAATGTGTTGGATTCCACTGGCAACATCATGAGAAGAAACATAATTGATTTGAAACCTTCACAAAATGAGTTTAAAGTTGTTCAAAATGATTTTGAAAATGAGATAACTGATGAATCAGTTACAATTCTTAGTATGCCAACCACTAGTCATTCAAGTTCGTTTAATTCTGATAATGATGCCAGTTTTAAAAATATTACTTGTAAACCTGAAGCTATAGACTCTAAGGAGGTTAAAAGTAGATCAGGTAGGATAATAAAAAAACCGAATAAGTTAAATCTGTAAAGAGGAGGGATGTTTAATATAGTAGGCCCATACTGTGGCTTGTAATTAGCATAATAGGTCTAGGGAGTCAAGACAAAGATGGCCACTTGTGAGCCAGCTGTATATGGTGTGCTCCTAGAATTTGATTAAAATAAATACTTAATTTTGTCTAATAGTCTAGTTTTATTGGATCAACACAAGTATTAAACAATAAGTATTTATTTTTTATTTTATAAATCAACCAGACTAGACAGGCGAATCAAAATAAACAAAATAACTGACATAACCTCTAAAAGAAGACAGGAGATGGGGCAGTGGCATTGCAGCCAACTAGACAACTAGGAAATTTTGTCAGTGATGCAAATTACTAATCTAGGTGAGTTAATGTCTGTCAGTATTGATTTTTGATTCTAAACCATCTCAATTTGGGTCTGATAAAGAAATACTATAACAAAACAATAATTTTTTTTTTTACTACTCCTCCTTATTCAATCTATTTTTCTAGGAAAAAATTGAATTTCTCTCCCTAGGTGAATAATGAAAATAATAAAAAAATACCTAGGTCAATAATGAAAATGACGTCATCACGCAAGGATATTGTCATGTTTCTATTGGTTCAATTTCAATTTCAGACGTCAATTTAAAAAAAAAATACAAGTTTCTGTAGGTACATAGGAAGTTATCATAAGCTGTTGATAGAGGGCAGTACTTTCAAGAGGACGTTCAAAAGAAATAATTGGAGCATGGATTTTAAACAAATTTCCTATTTTCTACTAACAGTAGTGAAAAAAATTCTATATATTCCTCGGTAGAGAAAGTCATTATATACCTTACGCATTATAAACATCGGCGCTACGCGCCTCGGTTTATAAAAGCGCTCGGTATATAATGACCAACTTCTCTACCTTGGTATAATATACTATTTTATCTGTGTATCTGTTATTTTGATTCTTTTATAACATAATTAATTGATAATAATTTACATGTTTTTAGTACTGTTTTTTCTGTTTATGTTGCACATTTGCGAAATGATAAATTCTATGTAAATGTAATTAATTTTTTACACATGTAGTTATGTTAACTGGTTTGTTATACTTTTTAGCCCTGAGGATGACACGCATCCGTGTCGAAACGTTGGCAATTGATTAATACGTGAATAAAAAAAGTCCAAAAAAGCTGCAATTTCGTTTCTTTACAAGTGTGTGGACGTGAACTACCTTTCAAATTCCTCCGGAATGTAGATTCTATTTTCTTTACTCTCCTTTTTTGATTTCTTCTTGGTTTATGCGGTTCTTCTATAAGATTCAATCACACCAAGCAGTCACATCCAAAATTTTTCAATTCCTTCGCATTTAATTTTCTTTCAAAACACATTTCAGCTGGACTTTTAGCTTTTCACGTGCTTAAAAAAATCGAATTCAATAAGTTAAAATAAATATGTCGGGGCGAAAGTTTCTTTAGAGAAACTACGCTGGGCTTTTTTCTTTGAATTCTTTTCACTGACAATTTGGGGTCCTATTTCCAAGTTTATTGTTTTATGTTTCTAAGAATATATTTGGAATAGTTTAAATAATTATTTTAATATTGAATAAAAATTCTTCGCGAAATAACAAGTACCGAGAGAGAAAGTGAAGTTTCTCCTTGAACGGGTTATAATTTATTGCTGGCAGCATCCGAACGCAAAACTTTGAATGAGGTAAAAAAATCTAATAGAAATCAAATAACATCTTTTTCGTACTCTAGAGTCAGGGACACTTTATCCGTTAGGACAAGTAGGTCATGTCCTACGGGCCACTTGAGGATGAAGGCCAACTGCTGGCCTTTAATTTATAATATAAAATATGAAAACATCGACTTGTTTAGTAGCAGGACTAGCATATATTTCAATACTCTTTAATTCTCATAATTCACACTGCACAAGCACATTTGGTTTGGCCAGAGTGCACTGCCTGATGTCACGATGCTCTGGAATCGCTCCGCTCGCTCCATCGAGCATCAATCCGGAAGACGCCCTAAAGTCACCAAGCTGCACTGAATCGCCGTCGATTCATTAGCGCAGCACGGGTACGTGGCAACTAGCAACGACTACAGCAGGAACCTGTTAGTATTTGCGCTGCTTTGCCAAATTGTAAGTTTCTTTGAGCTTCTTCTGGAGCATCCAGGGACTTGAGCAGTGTCTTAAGGGTCCAGTGTACCACGAAGTCGTGCCTTGTTGTTGTTGAGCTTGTAGGACATGTACAGGCAACATAGTACGAACTCTGAGTTGCAACCCTTTATGCATCTTTTCCTCGCTACTAAATTTGATTCCAAGCCATGCAGCTGTTCTTCCGAAGCACCCATCAGTACACTTAGTCCCCAGCATCCATATATGGTGATTGGTAGGCTGGGAGCTCAATCCCATCATTTTCTTTTAGGACGTTCCAACCATATAGCATGTTTTGTGACCATTCTTGTTCCATCATTTTGTAGTATCTTTCTTTGATTTTACCGAATACTACTTGCAGGGGCGGATTAAGCCTTTTTTCGCTCCTGTGCGATTAGAATTATTTCGCCCCCTTCCAGGCTCTGGGTTATATCATTATATTTTATTTTGTCATTTGAAGATTCTTCAATATAAAAAAGACAAATACTTAGTTAGTAATTAAAGATGGCATGAGACACGTTGATTAGTGCCAAGTCACTTGTCTTTTCATCTGAATGTGTGTTTCTGAGATAGTCTTTAATCCTCCTTAGGGTGGAAAAAGACTTCTCTCCAGACGCGTTAGTCGATGGAAGGCAAAGATACATTCTCAATGGTACCTCGATATTGGGAAATGTCGAGATTACTTTTTCAGACTTTAAACTTTGTGAAGGTTTATCCAAATTTAAGGTGCCATCGTGACTACTAGAAATCAGGAAATATTTATATTGAAGACATTTCTGAGGAAAATAATCGTCCAGATCGTTTTTACATGTTCCCTCAAGTCGCTGCGCTTTTGTTTTTATTTCTTCGCCAGATAGGGCACTTTCCAAAATTCACCGGTTTCTAAACCGGTGCGATACCGGTTTAATAGTTCACTCACCAAACCGTTCCAAAATGTACCGTCTTTTTACCGGTTGAACCAGATCGTCCGCTCCAAAATTGGCCGGAATGATCTACTGTTTGAATCCGGTGAGGCACCGGATCCACCGGGAATTTTTTGTCGGTTTTTTCGGTTGGAGATTTTCTGACACTGTTTTGACGTAGATCAATTTCTTTGAATGGGCATTATCGGCAGTCGTAACTTGAACTGTTGCAACACAACCGTTACAACCAAACTTTAACACACCGAAGCGTTCCAAAATGCATAAGAAAAATCTTGTACCGGATATACACCTAACTTTTACCGGAATTTTTTGACAGCTACCGGTTTATTTAACCGGTCAATTTATCGGTGAAATTAGGAAAGTGCCCATAATAAAACAAATTTATACAAAAATGCAGTTCCAAGGTCAAAATGTTGTCATATTATGTGTAGGAAGTCAAGTTTTTGTCATTTTGCTGTTTGATTTTCTGAATTTTTTCCTTTTATTTTTATTTTTAAAATTTTTTGCCCCCTTTGACTTTTTGCCCCTGGGCGATTGCCCACTTCCGCCTTATAATTAATCCGGCCCTGACTACTTGGCAACATTTTTTGCCTTCATATTCTGCCAGGTTAGTAGTTTGAAATTGTCTGAATGATTTTATTTAACCCCATAAAAAAGAACAATCACTCATGAAAGGCCATACCAAATAATTGACCTACGGGCCAGAGAAAGGTTAAAGCGTCACTGTCTAGAGTACATATACTCTAGGTATATAAATACTATATACCTAGTGTAAAATCTCGTAATTTCCATCTTCTAAGAATTACAAGTCATTACAATGATGCATTAGCTCTTACTGTTTTGTTTGCAAGCAGGAGCCTGTCCAGCCCATTGTCCATCAGCCTGGCACGTTCTGCTTTGAAGTCCTACAACGTGATAGCCATGTTCACAAGAATAAGAGGCTCGGGCGCCAAAAAGTCTTCCGCTGGCACTGACAGTTCCGTAAGGGATTTGTTCGGGTTCAGGACATTCTCGATCTGGAATTTTTTTCGTATTGTTACTTTAGTTAAGGCAAATTCTAGCACTAGCACTAGTAAGGTAAAGTTAGTACCTGGTTTGATGCAAGACATCCCACATGCGCCGTCACACAAGCACTTTTTCTTTTTGCTTTTACAGTCTTCGTCTGACGAACATTTCCTCAAGCATTTTTGACCCTAAATAAAAAAAGTATTCAGGAAATTTCTGAGACACATTTCGTCAGGGACGACCCGAAGACTTTTTATTGGGGGGGTGGCGTAGGTAAAATCTCCCAACTGGTCTTTCTTAAAAATCCCAACTAGCAGGCGCGTAGCCAGAAAATTCAGATGAGAGGCGTTTTTCGCTATTGAAATTAAGAAACATTGCATGACCATTGGGGTGTCAGAAAAAAAATTGTGCCGCAGGCCTAAGTTTTGTAGAATTTCAAGGTCAAATGCTTTATAAAAGTAGGTATATGCTAAAACATAGATTTCGTAAGGTAAATTTCTAGAATTTTTAGTAATGTCCCAATACATATGTCGTTCGTGACTTCACATTTTAGGTAGGAAAATTCGGGCTCCTCCCCGTTTGGGAACGCTACTGGTAAAATAAATTAACATGTTTACTAAAAAAATAAAAGTCGAAAGCATGTATTTTTTTGAGATTTTAGTATGTATTTGTATTATAATAAAAAAATCACATCATACAAGACGATACAGAAATGTTAACCGATGTTAATTTTGTCGGAATAACCTGTGATTTTTTTTTTTAGAATAAATTCAATAATTATTTGCTGCATCAACCTTACCAATAATGTGGCTTGTTCTTCGTCCCTGGGACAAAGCGTCGAAGGTGAATTCCTAGGATTTTTGTAGACTTTGTTGCCGTCGTTGCCTTCGTCTTCGATTTCGGATGATTCGTCTTCGTCCCAGTCATCGTCATCTTCGTCGGTAGGTGTTGGAACAGTAGAATTTCCGCTTGCTGAAAAAAAATCTACAGTTTAGATCTCAACTTCAAGAAGAAAAAATATAGAGAAGAAGAAAACTTGAAAAGTTTAAGTAAAGCGAATTGATGAGAGCTTCTCGACAATACATTTTTAGGAAGTTTTAAATGGGTACTTATTTATACTACAAAACTGAAACCTAATTCCCTCGTTAGTTCATACCCGCTGGTCCGGTCCTGGTTAAAACGCGAGTGCGAGGTGGGCGCTACATTATTTTTTCTCCCTCGCGTAATTGCAAATTTTGGTGCATTGCCGGCAGTGGTAATTCCCGTATAGAGCACCGCCCGAATGCTGCTGGAAGCTGACACAAAATTAATGCCATTTCTGGCATTGTGTAACTTTTTGCATTTGTTCCGGATGTTGTCGCTGGGGCCATTGTTATATGGGACAGTAAAATGTACGTACAGACCTAGAAATCCTGCAATTGCACTCGTTTTATGTTTTTTCCAGTTATGAATGCAGAACGAAATTGAAACAGAATTGGGTGGTTTTTTTTATTTTTTCAGTGTAGTTTTCCAAGCGGTCTTCTGCTATGAAAAACTCAACATTCTCTGAATGTACCTAGATATGTATTCGTAAATCTATTTCACGATAAAATGTTGTAACAAAGCATTTCAATATGCTCCTTACACTCATTGAAAACTTACTAAATTGAAATATCATTTTCTTCGTTGCCTCAATTTTGTTTTGAAGGAGCTTTGGTCCCTGGAAATAGTTTACGAACGTGCCCTAGCTCCAAAGATTGGTGTTGAAATTCGTCAATTTTCTTTTATAAAGTGATTCTATGAAAGTGTGAAACAGTAAGTGCCCTTCTTATCGATCCTGATCTTGAGAATGAGTGGTTTCGATGCAAAGGTGATTAAAACCATTTTTAAAGTATAAAATTAAAAATTCTCGTTGACTAAAAAGCAGTACGGTGTGTCATATAAATAAAGATGTACTCTGAAGCAGTAATGGAATTCTAATGGAAACAACCGTCCACTGGAGCCAGAGCATGAGATACATTTTATCGATGAGAGTTTCAAATTTTGAGGAAATTATTTAAAAAAGTCACACGAGTGTTAGCTTTTTTCTCCTTTGCTTGTGGCTGTGGATTGGAGAGGAAACTCGTGGGCTTCTTTTTTTTTGATGCAGTCCCTTTGGTGGTGAGTTTACTCTCTTCTGGCTGGTGTGCTGTCTTTGCCAAGAGTTGAGTTAGTTTTTTAATCGTTCTTTGAAAGTCTCCTCTAAATGATTTGCTAGTGAAGCCAACAATCCAACATTTTTCAAAAATCTTATTTATTAAAAATTTTTACCTAAATTTATGGGTTATTTAATTTGAAATTTAATGAATTTCGTGGCAGATTATTCAATTTTGTTATAATTTCTAATTGATTTTGGTATGTGTTCACTTTTTAGCTTAGAGTTTGGTTCGAGAAATATTTCTTTAATATCAGGGCATTGTAATGAAAACAATACACCCTTTACCAGTGTTGCATATACTTTTAGTCTTAGACAATTATATTACGGAGAGTTTCACAAAATTGTTACTTATGTTATTTCTACCATAGCTGTCTCTTGACTGCCTTTTTCTTCTCCCAATCTTTCCTGAATCGACTCCAACATCCCTTCCAAAAATGTCCTTATCTCTACTAGTGGCTAACTGGACATCTCTAAATAACCATCGGCATCTTTAATGACCATCAAGGGTAGTGTAATGACCCGGAAAAAATATACTTGTGATTTACAATGTTTTAACTGTAAAAATTAAATGTAATCGAAGAATCAAAAACTGAATTTCCTGTATTTCAAATCAGTATCAATAAATTGAAAATGAAACAAAATAACGTTGACCCCAAAATAATTAAAATATTTATATACGTTCAAAATTTTATTATTTAGTCACCAAGCGTGATGTCATCTCTTAAATCAAATCAATGAACATATTAGAAGCGAGGCTAACGTAATTAAATAGGTGATTTATGGCCGCACGTATGTTGTCAGTTTTCTTTGATTTGGATGTCCTCACCTTCTTGAACCAAATCTGTTGACCCCGATAAACCATAGGAAATTGCGACATAATTATTCGATTTTAAACAAATAGAAAAGGAAGTTTAATGAATGATGGATACGAGTTTTGGGGGGACCGAATAATATAAATACAGGCGGTTTTAGAAGTGGAGGATCAGTTGTTAGTTCGGTCCAGTCCAGTTAAATCTACAGTACCTAATGAGTCAGTCCGGATAAAATTCACGAAGAGTTTCTTTTATTTTGTTGCCTCGGAAAAACGCGTTAAATAGAACTTTGAAAAAGTAACGAAAAGTTAATAAAAGAAAGACCATTTAAATTCGTTCAACATTATGTGCGTGCTCTAGCTGATTTTTTGAAGTAAATTAATTAAGTAATTTTACGGGTGAAAATTTAAAAGTAAGTACTCTAGTGACTAGTATTGTTTTTTCTGACAAATATCAATAATTCGGAATGATAAGAAGTGAATTGACATTGAAATTTAATGCATAAAACCTGAGTGATTTGACTGTAAAAACTTTATTGCATAACTTTAATTGCCTTCGAGTATATTGACATTTAAATTAATTTTGCAAGGAATTTAAAAGGGGAATTTATCGATTTTGAGTAGGAATTATTAAAGAATTTTGAATTGGATTGTCCAATTGGAGTTTAAGGGCTATAGTAACTAACTAATAAGAATTTAAATAATTGTGTGTGTTGGCTAGGAATTCGAAAATAGTAGGTAATTGTTCTGTTTAAATTGATCCTTCCGTCAGGGAAGTTTTGAAAAGAAACTTGTTGTTCATGAAGTTGTTGACCTTAAGTGCTGAAATTTTGGTTTAGCGTTTTAATCATTTAGAAATTATTGTATGGTTTTTATAAAAATATAGATGGTAATACATATATACTTAATCCAGTGAGTAGGATTATGACTTAAATAATTATTTTGCATAAGCTGTCAGTAAATGACTTAGGAGTTTTAAGAATTTATAGATATAGGTGAAAAGTAGTTTTAATAGTAATGTGAATTGGAAGTGTTGTTTTGAAAGAGTAATGTATAAACTTATAAGTTATTAAGAATAGAAGAAGTAGGGCGTTTTTAGTATGGATATTTCCTGGTCCGTAGTAATGAAAGAACATCTCACACTTCTTATGGATTGCGGTCACCGACAGATTTTGTTGAAACTTTAGTATATTATTTAAGAAGTCGTAATAAGCATTTTCTTTCATTGCATCGACCTTATAGCGATACAGAGTGATACTGACATGTTGCATCCTCTCACCATTACTTTTTAATATTTATTCGAACAAAGTATTTGGAAAAGCATTAGAAGACTGCACTGAGGGAATTTCTATCGACAGCGCGAACATCAACAATCTTCGGTATGCCGACGATACGGTTTTAGTCGCTGATTTTCTGGAAGGTCTTCAAGTATTACTTTATTATTTGGCTACTGAAAGTGGAGAATTTAGATCAAAATTGAACGCCAAAAAAACTAAATGGATGTTGATTAGTAAGAACAAGGTGTAAGCAGGTATTCTTAAGGTACAGAACCGACAGGACAGATCGATCAGGTCCAATCATACACAACGACGTAGCTATGGCTTTTACATGGGGGGGGGGGGGGGGTTTAGAGCAGTAGCCGCTCGTGGTCTATGCTGGAAAGGGTTTCAATTTCAGACCAGACGATGTATAGGTATAACATAGCATAGCTGCCAGAGGATATCAAAAAATTTTTTGGGTTCCACGCCCAAAAACGTTTATTTAAAAAAAAAAAAAAATTATTCAGTTCAATGGGGGGGGGGGGGTGTTCAGACTTGTAAAATATTAAATTTCTTTTCACATTTTTTAAGGTCTAAAAAAGCAACCACGACAGCAAAAATCAATCCAATGCATTTTATTTAATTTTGCACTAGTGGAAACGAGCCCTTAATTTGACATTGCAAGGGATGCCGCACTCAGCGATTCTAAAAATAGCATGAGTCAGTACGCAATAAGCCACAGAACGAGAAGGTGCGCGTCGTGTTCGTTTTTTAACGCTTTTTTCGTTTTTTATGAAGCCTGTGCGCTCAAATACTCAAAAATCATTATACTCAATAACCAGCCTGTGTCTGGTACTCTTGTTTTGACCCCCTCGAAAGTAGTTGCTCATTAAATCACGTTTAAGTTAAATTCAAAATTCCCGTGTTTCATTTTCCTAGATACAGTCCACGCATTTCTTCCTTTTATCTATGCTTTAACGCAAAGCCTGAAATTCAGCGATCGCTTTATAGTTGAAGAAACGGGAAAGCGGTGTTGCCGATCCAGTGCAGCATAAACATGGTTCTTCGAGCCGGATTGAACGTTCTGGAATTTTGAAGTGTATTTTTCACTTTAACGTGATCGGACTTATTCGGGGTCAAATTAAAAAACATTTTATCATTTAATCTTTCCCTCTCGCGTGTGACTACGGACAATTACAGTTCGTGTGCAGCTTGAGGCAGCTTTGAATGGAACTTTATCTACAGTTTACACTTGGAGCTTTCAAGGTAAATTCGGTTTATGTTGTACATTGCTAGTAGAGCAGCAGTAGCCGGTTCTTTAGTTCAGAAGAGCTGCAGTGCTGAAGCAGACCAAAATCGATTACATTATCGCATTTGAGCCAGTTGGGCATCTTCAGTGCAGAAGGGCGTCCCAGGTTCCAGGTTAATGGTGCCTTTACCATTTAGGCCCAATTATTAACATCATTTCTCAGTTGTTCCTGTCTAGGGGGAGTAAAAGTCAGTCGTATCGTGGTCGGAACGCGCTTTTATAAAGTGTGAGGACTTTTTTGAACGTTTTTTCATTATTCTAAAAATTTGCATTTATTTTAGATTTTTTTGCATTTATTTTAGATTTTTTGCATTTATTTTAGATTTTTCTTGTAGGAACTTGTTGTTAGTCTAGTTTTAAGTAGTCCAAGTTCATTTATTGTTAAGGTTGCATTGCAGTACCTGTTTACGAAAAATT